GAGGGGTGGGGAGCCGAGCAGGGTTCGCAAAGATTTCTGGGAGCTGAAGTTCGGGGCCAAAATGCCTTCTCGCAGCCCAGTGGCTTTGGACAGGTAGGTGGGACGGGATGAGAGGAGTAGTTTAGGGGTAAAGCACCGGATTCCTTGTAAGGGACTTTCACACACGGGAATAAGAGTCAGCTCAGGACACGCTGGCTCAGACCCCAGCCCTACCAGCTACCAGTTAACCTCTGTGTTCTTCAGTTTCCTTCTCTGTAAAGTGGAGTCTGAAGGACCTGGACCAGTAGGGACGTAGTGAGTTCAGAGGAAAGATATGGAAAGGCCAGAGACTAATATATAGGCCCCACAGCTGCCATTGAGGCCAAACAGCACCCCCCCACACACTGCTGGCCTCAGACACCCCACCCCACCCCACCCCTGCTGTCCCTGGGCATGCCCTGCCTAGTGCTAGGCCTTCCCTGCAGTCTCCTTTTGTTCCTTAAATGGGAATTGAGAGACCGAAGGGTTTTGAAGATTCAAACCTACCTAAGCAAACCCTAAGGAGCAGTTCTACTCTGTAACCAGTGGGGTCACTATGAGTCAGAATTGACTGGATGGCAAGGGGCTTGGTCTTTTTGTATTCAAGAGCAAAATGCCCAACAAAACAAAACAAACTCACTGCCATCAAGCCAATTCCGACTCATAGGATAGGGTAGAATGGCCCCTGTGGATTTCTGGGACTGTAACTCACAATACGAGTTGAAAGCCTCATCTTTCTCCCATGGAGTGGCTGGTGGTTGTGAACTACTGACCTTTTGATTAGCAGTCCACTACTCTGTGTGTGAGTTCACATTCCTCTTAAGCTACTTACTAGCCTGGACCTTGTATAAATCACTCACTCTGTGCCTCGGTTTTGCTGTTGTTGTTGTAAAATGAGACAAAGAATAGCACACCCCTCCCCAAACTGGTTGGGAGGCTCAAATGAGATGTTGTTAGGTGGCAGCCAGTCAGGTCTGACTCAGAGATAGTACATGTAAACCATGTGGCTATAGTACTTGGTAGGTAGTAAGTCACCTGTTATTTGCATTACCCATCCTCCAAAGTTTAACCCGAAAGTTATAGCCTCTGAATCGTCACCG